AAAGCATATCTTGCGTTTAATCGAAACAAAGTGAACAAATTCCGGTGGAGAAATGAGAGGGGGCTAGGCTGTTTGGCTTTCGTTTCGCTCCCCCCCCCCCGCGCCACTAATTTACAAAAACTGACACCCCTGACTGCAGATGCCGCCCTGCTGTTACATGCAACAGCCAACATCATTCGCTTTTACGGAAATTGCAACCCCGGCCATCGCTGTTTTTGTTCCTAAGCTTGCGACCGCGTCGGCTCACAACTTTTTGACTTGATTTGTTTCACTGTTGCGCGTATGGGCACTAACACTGGAACGCACATCTTAACACAAAGGTTTATTCGGCAGTCACTGGAGCAGCGACCTGCCCGACCTTCGCATGCGCGTTTCGCGGCGTGAGAGAGGGCAGCTCGCTGCCCCAGTGACTGCCATATAAACCTTTGTGTTAAGATACGCGCTCAAGTGTTAGTGCCCATACGCGCAACAGTGGTGACCCCGAGCGTACTCCCAAGTTGATCGGTGCTGCAGTGTGGCCTTGTGTGCCGCCGAACAGTGTGTGACGCGACTCGCAACACTGCAACGTTCGGTGACACACCCGCTAATTCGGAGTGATGAACCCGGACGGCACGTCTCCCGCACCCGGTGGCTCCGGCAGCTCACCGACATCAACTGCAGCCGGCCTCCCGGCCGCTGGCGGGTCCCAGACCCCCGCAGCCCGGCGGACCGCCATTGACCGCGACCGCGCTCCGCCTGCCGCCATTCTCCGCCGAGGACGCGGAGCCCTGGTTGGCCCAAGTGGAGTGCGCCCTCGGCGTCGCGGGGGTGGCGGACGACCCTGGCCCGCTACCAGGTGCTGGCGTCGTCGCTGCCTACGGACGTGGCGGCCCAAGTGCGAGGTGTAATCACCAGCCCAGCGCCCACATACGCGCTGCTGACATCTGCACTGCGCCAACGTTTGGCGCACTCCAGGACGTCCCACCTGGAGGCGCTACTGCGGAATCAGCAGCTCGGAGACCAGCGCCCGTCCCAGCTCCTGAGACGGATGCATGGCGAGCTGTCAGCGGTCAGTGATGCCCCGGCGGACCAGGGCCTGTTGAGGACGCTTTTCCTCCAGCGCCTGCCCCAAACAGCCGCTGCTGCCCTCTCCACGCTGGACGAAACAATGCCACTGGAGAACCTGGCTCGTGCGGCAGACCACTTCATGGAAGCATCAAGGCCGGTGTACCAGCCAGCCAGCCTGTCTGCCAACCAGCAGCCAGCGCTGTTCACACCACCCGCACCAGCCCCAGTGACTGAGCTGTTGGCCACTGTAGCTATCCTGACTGCCACCGTCAGCGAGCTCCAGATGGAGGTCCGCTCCATGCGTCAGGAGAGGGCCCGCAGCCAGGACAGGTCAACCCTTCCCTGCAGCCGCTGCCGCAGCCAGAGCCGTGGGCGACCCAGCTACCACCGCCAGGAGAGGTCACTATCCCATCGGAGGGGTGGGGCCTGTTATTATCACGCAGGGTTTGGCGCTCAAGCCAAAAAGTGCCAGGCCCCCTGCTCCTGGGCGGGAAACGACGTGGCCTGAGTGTACCTGCGGCCCAACTCTCAGGCACCCCTCTCCTGGGGCGGCTGCCTCATGTCAGCGACGGTGACACCACCTGCGTAGTAGATACTGGCGCGCAGGTTAGTGTCCTACCGACTTCGCGGCTGCCCGCGGGAGCTAAGCTGGAGTCCACCAGCCTGCGAATCACCGCAGCCAACGGATCCGCAGTGACCGCTCACGGCTTCACTGCGAGGGACGTCAAGCTGGGAGACCACAGCTTCACATGGCGGTTCCTGGCTGCTGATGTCCAGGCAGCCACAATCGGAGCTGACTTCCTCCACCGCTCTGAACTCGCGGTCGACCTGAGCGCCCGCGCGCTGCTCTTGCCCTCTGGTGACATGCTGGTGACGGGTTTTCATTCTCCCCGGTCCAACAGCCTGCAGGGATTGCAGCTCGGCGCCAACCACCTGGCCCGGCTCTGGGACGAGTTTCCCGAGCTAACCTCGCCGCCATCTGCCAGAGCTCCAGTCCAACATGGAGTCACACATTTCATTGAGACCAGAGGGCCGCCCAAAGTGGCTCGAGCGCGCCGACTGACGCCTGACCGCCTCGCCGCTGCCAAAGCCGAGGTGAAGCAGCTGCTGGAGGATGGCACCATGCGCCCCTCCAAGAGCAGTTGGGCGACCCCGCTGCACCTGGAGCCCAAGGGTCAGTCAGGCCGCTGGCGGGTCTGCGGCGGCTATCGTGCCCTTAACGCAGTCACCATCCCGGACCGTTTTCCTGTGCCACACCTCCAGGACTTCGCTGCAGACCTACACGGTTGCAGTTTCTTTTCAAAGCTGGACCTCTCCCGAGCCTTTCATCAAATTCCAGTGGAGCCGGCCCACATCAACAAAACAGCCATCATCACCCCATTCAGTTTATACGAGGCAACACGTATGCCGTTTGGGCTTCGGAATGTTGCTCAAACGTGTCAACATCTGATGGACGAGGTCCTCCGCGGACTACCCGGCGTCTTCGTGTATATCGACGACATCCTGGTGGCCAGCGCCACCCTGACCGACCACGAGCGCCGACTCCGGGACGTTTTCTCCCGCCTCGGCGACTACGGCATCGTGGTCAACCGGCCCAAGTGCGTCCTGGGGGCGCCTCACCTGGAGTTCTTGGGACATCTCATCACGCCGGAGGGCATCACTCCGCTGCCGTCCAGGGTGGCCGCCATTCGTGACTTCACGCTGCCCTGGACAGAACGCCAGCTCCGCCGGTTCATCGGGATGCTGAACTTCTACCACCGTTTCATCCCGTTGGCGGCTGAGCACCTCGCCCCACTCCATGCGTTGATCACGTCTAAGGCCCAGTCGCGACGCGAGCTGGAGGTGACATGGGCTAAAGAGGCCAAAAAGGCGTTCGCCCGCTGTAAAACAACGCTCGCGGACTCGGTGCTGCTCCTTCACCCAGCGCCCGACGCCCCCATCAGCCTCCAAGTGGATGCCTCGGACCAGGGCGTCGGCGCAGTTGTGCAACAGCACGTCCGGGGGCGCTGGCAGCCCCTCGGGTTCTTCTTTCGCTCCCTGCGCAAGCCCGAGAGGCGCTACAGCACCTTCGGCCGTGAGCTGCTGGCGATCTACCTCGCCATCCGTCACTTCCAGTATGCCGTCGAGGGGCGGCCACTGATCGTGTTCACCGACCTTAAGCCGCTGACCCATGCCATCTGGAGCAACAGCGACCGGCACTCACCGCGCGAGGCCCGGCACATCGACCTCATCTCACAGTTCACCACCGACATCCGCCACGTACCGGGCAAGCTGAACGTCGCTGCTGACATCACTAGTTAATTCTGTAAAAGAGTGAACGTTCTCAGGCAAACATGGGTTGGTCTCTCTCATTTTTGAACTAATATCAACACACTCTTTTGAACACTCATGAGACCTCTTACCCGGGAAATCCGGGCAAGGGGCCCCTTGAGTAGAACACTAGGGGGCATATCACCATTCCCGGTCAAGGACTGAAGGGTCAAATCACTCCAGCGCGGGGTGCCCTCCGGCTGCCAATGTGGCGACAGGGGGGCGGGGTGCCCTGGTCCATCCGGAGGCCCTTTCATATCACATTATTCCCATTCCTGACGCGAGAGGCATTTTGACCCGCACTGCTGGCCGCGGATCGACGCAGGAATCCTCATTGGCGCAAGCAGATCCCCAATCGCCACAGGTGGTCCAATGCACAGAGACAGCACGGACACTCCAGTTCGGCTTAACGGGCCCATGGTTGGAATTGGGTTGGGGAGCCCACCATTTGGTCCTCGGGGCCATGGCTGACACGGGGGCCCTCATTCCACTGGCTTAATGTGAACTCTCATCAAAAGTTCTCAGGTTTTCTTTTGTTATCAGATGCCCCCGACAAACCCAAGGGCACTCTGGCTTTCGGGATCCTCACCCGTTTCCTGTTCAGAAAATGTTCCCCTGGTCGACCAGGGACTCCCTGTCAAACAGAGCTTATGATGGAATCGCGGCTACTCGCCAAAACATGATCTCTTGCTAGGCATCGTGGGCCCCTGACCGGCACGGGGCTTGACAATTATTTCAGGGACTCGGACGGATCCAAAGCATAGGCCCAGCCTTGTTCCGGCTTAGGAAATGTACCCCTAGGGTTCAGACCAACACGGAGCGAACTGCCTGTGTTGGTGGTCTCTGGCCACCATAGACGCCTGCATTGTCTCAAAGGGTTTCGGTCAGCTTATTTTTTTTTTAAATCACGGCTCTACGGGCCGGCATCATTCATGTGGCCCAAAACCAGCTCTTGAGTCCTTTATACTCTCCAGTCAGGCTCCTGATCGTCGGATTCAGCGGGCCACGGGCCTCTGCTCGGACCTCATTTAACACCGCCCGTGGTGGACTTGGGGTCTCCTGCCAGCATAGGACCACTTGTAGGCACTGCGGGCCCCTAACACATGCAGGGCCCCGATCAGTGTGAATCGCTGGCCCCGGCTCTGTGGATGCTTACGAAGTGAGTCTTCAGGCCCATATGGAAACGGAGCCGACGGTGCGGCACTGGCCCATGAGGGCCTGCATCGACCCCAGGGCGGCCAGGGTCCCTAAATACCGACACGGAGCGGACCGTGCGGTAGTGATGATGCGTGGCCGCCATGTAGGTCCTCATCGATACAGTGGACCGGCGCAAAGCGCTCTCTGACTGTCATTTGAGGGTCCGTCCCCACAGGCCTGGCCCCTGAAGAAGATTCGGCTGGCGTTTCGGACTCTTCGGACCTCAAATCGGGCCCTTTATCGTCGTTGAAGCGCCCTCGAAACCTAAGGGGGCACATGCCCCCTGTGCTCCCCCCTGCCTGCGCCATTGGCCGTAATGACACTTGCATTTGTCAGCAGAGAGCTTATTTCGTAGCTGATTTGGTACTGCCTCCTGTTGGACGACCGCTTGCGTCATTTCGGTGGCTGAGTCGGCTGTGGTAAACGGAAAACCGAACGGAAAACACCACAGGCCTTGATGTGCGGCGTATCTGTCGTCGGCGGTTGTTATCCACGCTCCTCGAAGGGGAGTAGCGTGGGATGGGGCAATAATGGTTAAAATAAATCAGATATCGTCCATTTATATTGGATACATAGTGTTACAGGTACGTCACCGAAAGAGAGCAATCAAGTTAAAAGGTTTAACAATACTTTCGTTTGCCGGCGTTGCCCCCGTATGGCCAGCATTGCCTGTACGCTGACGTGTCATAGCTGGACCGCCCAAACCGTGTTGTGAACTTATTACATGTGTGATGCACATGAAAAGCATTGGGATTCTTACGATGTTACATGGTCATGGTATGCATTTGTCCTGACACTGCAATTTGTTTGATTTGACACTGCAATTTGACACTGTTTAATTGATGTTTTTAAGGTATTAAATCCCATAATAGCTGAACAGGAACACTTCATGGACACCTCATGTTACCTTCAAAATATAGAAATTATGATTACCATCGCAGGATTTGGTCAGAACTCAGTATGTCACAGATAGCACTAACGCTAATAGGACATGGGTTGCAGGGGATTGATAGGAGAGATTTGTCAGTGGGCTATGCTGTGTTTAGAGGTTAGGTTAGATTACTAGGTTAAGTTTGGTAGTTGGGTTTGATTCTGGTACATTTTCATGCTTCCTTCAAAAGTCCATATTCTTAAAGCAACCTCACATCCACTGTGTTGTAGCAATGGCATCAGTATGTGCTGTGTAGTGTTCTATCTCTGGGGAGCTTATGTTTCCTATAGTACATATTATAGTTTAAAGGTTAGAGTGTAGATGCACCTGTTTTATGATTGGGTACAGTATTTGCTATCTTACAGAACATTAGTTATGTGCAATACTCTTTTGCAGTAAAAGGTACCTATGCCAAAGTATGCCCTCTAAACTTATAAGCTGAGGTTACCAGCACACTTGGATTGATGTGCAAGTTTCATTGGTATTTCATTGTGGGGAGTGATAATTCATGCCAAAAATAACTTCAAAAATAACTGTGACCAAATGTTTTGACTGGATGGTCTTCTGGGACCTGAGTTCACTCTCAACCTGAGCCCTTGCTCTACCATTCAATCATGCCATTCCAGTTCAATAGCTACATTTTGTGGGGAAAAGTTTAAGGTGCTGCATTTCTTTAGGTCATTCTCACCACCTGACAGCATCTGATGTTGAAAGACCACTGCCAATAACTGGATTTTCTCAACCAGGGTCCAGACATGTGTGTAACTAAAAAAAATTGAGAAGTGAATAATCTGTGTTGGTTGGACACCTGTGCTTTGAGCAGCTGATGTAAGCAATGATTTAAATTCACCATTTCAGTGCTGAAAGGTTTGTTCGATGAATGCTTTCAGCTCTGAGGGTGGTTACTGTTATTCATCTTTTTAAAATAATGACAATTTTGTTTTTCTTGTATATGAAAAATGCTTCTTTTTTATAATTTGTCTCCAGCTAGGCTATATTTTCTGATGTCTGTTTAAAGTCATGGAGGGATTACATTATGCTAGAAAATTGCTCACAGTTTTAGGACAGCCAACATTTTTAAAGGGGATAAGCTCAGTTGTAGCTTGTCATGCTGGTTTCAACTATGTCAGGAGACATCCATGGTGCTAAAAAGAAAACAAAAATACTGGCCTGGAGGTTTGCACCTCACATGCCATCAGTGCTTATTGCATGTTAAAGATAGGAACCTGGTGTGTGGTGCAGTGGTTGGTGCATTAGTTGTGTGTCATTGGTGTGAGACTGTTGGATTATGTAGGGTTGGGCAGTGGGGGGGGGGGGGGGGAAGAGGCAAATGTTTGCATCAAAGTGACTTCATGCAGTGCTCTGGTGGTCCAGAGGCTGGGAATATGTTATAGAAGTCCTAGTTTAAATGCCATGTTGGCATTGAGAGATGAATGAGCACCTTTGTATTTGTTTTAGTAGTCTGGTTTATCGTTCTTAGTTCAATCCTGTGGATGTCAGTTCTATGGATGGCATAGAAATGACTGTCACTTTGACAACATTTATGGTTTGCAGGTGTCAGAAGTGGTGGCTAAGCTGACATCTGAGCAATGCTTGGATCTTGGCTTCAACAGGGCCAACTTGCTATGTTCCTACTGCAAAGAACTGCAGGACTTCAGCTTAACAAGCCTGAGGTATGATTGAATGTTTCAGGCATTAAGCTGCACTGTCTTGATTTCTACAGAGATGTAACAAAACCTTACATGTTCTGGGCACATCAATGCCTATCATTGAGCAGGTCTTCCTGTAGTGTGCCTTGCTGACCCACAGCCCCTGAATCACATGGTTGCCATGTTGCAGGGATAACTGCTCTCAGTGCTGCACGGCGGATAGTGGCACGCCGGAGATCCGCCGGTACCCGCGCGCCTGCCTGGAGGTGTGCGGATGACGACTGGGGGCCTTCCCGCAGGTTCAGGGTATGTCAGCAACGCATCAGTCACCCCTCCCCGCCCCCTGGGCGCTAAATGGCCACTGTGGCTGGCGCATCCCAAAGCACCAGTAAGCAACAACAAAAGCATCTATCACCTTGTGTACTGGTGAAGTCTGATGTTGCGCAAAACTGCACTTGATTACGTGTAGTGCAAAGTGCAGAAATTGTGATCAAATTTTTTGTCCAGATGGCTTCAATAAAAGTCTAGCATTATAGGAATGGATTGTCAACACAGAATCATGTCCTTTTAGGAATAGTTTGTTTCTGGTGACCTGTGATGTGACCAATTCTGTGTCGTGCCGGCTTCCTTGCGTCAGCGTGTTGCCAGCTCAATCCGTCCTGTCATATTTTTTTGCATTATGCTCAGTGTTTTGGAATCTTTACTTTTTGGCAATGTGTTCTTATGACTAAAGCTGAGCATTTGATTTGTGTTTTTCTGGATGAGTGATAGTATATTTTATCCATTACTAGTTCCAGCAGTTTTGCCACTTTCTGCAGCACAGGGAAGCAGTTCGCAGGGCCCAAATTCCAAATTTTGTCCCTTACTAGTTTCAGCGGTTTTGCTATTTTCTGCAGCACAAGGAAGCAGTTGGTAGGGCCCAAGTACCAGTTATATTCCAGAACAAAACTAGAAAAATACTGGAACCTTGTGCAATCACTTCTCATTTTGATCAGTTTAAGGATATCCCATTTATTTCCAAGGGGTATATGAAAAAACTGGGTCATGGATCATGAGACTCTGGAGATGTCTGCCAAAAATTGGGTCGTGAGGCTCAGGTGATGCCTGCCATAAGGTGCAAGGCGTCCAGGATGGTGTCAGGAGTGCAGGGGCGTAGTTTCGCAGGCCCCCTTTTTAAAGTTAGTGGGCTGAGGCCAAGTTGGGGGGCCTAGCCCCTCCCCCCCCCCACAGCTGAGTTGGGACCATTACCCTCACAGGAGGGTCTAGGGGGTACCTTCTAAAGGTCGGAAGCGATGGAGCGACTCGCCGTTTTTTTCGGGAGTTTACAGAACTTCTCAGCATCACCTTTCCCACTGCATCTGGTACATGTTAGCACGCAATTTCTTCTGCACTGTCCATTATGCATCGAACAACACTGGCGTGATCAGCGTTGCCGGATATCTGCCTGTCACTATCCCTCGCCAGACCCACGCGAGTGAGCGTGGACCTGGGATGGCACGACTGGTCACTGACCGTAGGCCGCTTGCAGCGTTCGTAAAGAGCGACCGACCTGCGCGGTACCCGGGCCTCACTGTCAAGTACGTGAGGGGGGCAGACCCGGTCATCAAGCTGATGGACGAAGAGGAGCGGGTGCAGGAGGTCAGTGGGCGCTGCTCGTGTCAGGCCCCGCTCGCGGCCGCGGTCGGGTCGGGTTAGTTGCGGTGGATATATCGCCCCGGGCAGGGCCTGTTTAATGCGTGCTATGAACTGGCGTGCGCGGTTAGTGAAGTCATTCAAACTGAGTATTCCAGGATATTCCCTAAACTCTTTCGTGTCGTAAGGTTTACGCCGAAACGTAGCGATCGATGTATCGGCGTTTAAGCGTGCGTATGTCACCGGCGATTTTGTGCCATGGCATCATCCTGGAACTTTGCTGCCTTTATTTTGGGGTGTGCGTATGCGTGTGCGGGCTTGCGTGCGTGCGTGCGTGACCGGAGCGTCCTTCGGCGCTGTTTGTTTACAGAATACACGCAAAACAGGAGGCAAGCGGGCGGCCGGTCCGGACCCATGAAACTGTGTGCGGTAGCTGGTCATATCCCCAGTGAGCCTGGATTAGGTGCTAATGCGTCCGTGTTTTTCCAGACCCTTGCCATCGATAAGTGGAACACTGACTCTGTGGAAGAGTTCTTGGGTCTTTATCTGGAGTCGGCGCAATCGGAGACACTCGACGATGATGCCGAAGAAGTTTCCAAACAAGAGCTGTAAGGAGTGGTTTATCTCTTTATGTTAGTTTGAGTACGAAAATATCATGAAAGCGTTCGAAATTACCGTTGGTTGCATTGCTTTTACGAACATGTTTTCATGTCCGGATGTACTCAACATCCTAATTTGCAGGATACACTCAACTAACTGTGCAGAATGTGCTCCCCAGCGCGATGGTTTTGGTCCTGCAATTTGGCAGATCTGAGCGTTCGTAAATCTTCCCGCGTACCAATCTGCGCTGGGGATTGGTGGCTTCCATTCCGTGATAATGGTGACGGGTCCTTCTGTGCGCGTGGCTCTTCGTCGTGATGTATGAGTGGTGCCATCATTCTGGCTTTCTATAGACAGGGCCGCAGCTTTTTCGTAGCAAAAGATCTCGCACGAATTTGTCCGCGAATTCTAGTTCTTATGCATCCAAACCACCTGTGGTATCCTTCAGTCTCTCGTTTACGTGATCTTGGCGGTTTTTACGTGTATCAAGCACTTTTGACCTCTAAACACAGAGCGTGTGCGCCAGTCGGACCGTCACCCCTATCGCCGTGTGTTTATGTGTGTGCGTGTGTGCGTGCGTGCGCGCGCGCGGCGGTGGGTGGCGGGGAGCGACGGGCCGTTCCAGCGGGCGCCGGAGCCGGGCCGGGCGCTGGGGCCGTCCGCTGGCCGGCGATGTTGCATGAGGGCCGTGTCGGAACCGGCGCCGCCGTCGGCGCGGCCGGAGGAAGCATCGCCGGCCATCGGGCTGCCCCGCCCAGCCGGCACCGGCGCCCGCTGGTCCTAGCGCGCGCCGCTGCCCCAGCTGCACCAGGTGCGGCGCTGCGGAACGTGGCTGTTGCGAACATGTTGCTCGCGCTTGGTGACCTGTAGGGGCTGTCAGTTTTGTACTCCGCGGGACCAGAAAAGCCGCGGTCGGTGGGGCAAGATAGGCATCGCTATTTGATTCGTGATGTTTTGGACCTTGTCCTGTGGTGATTTAATACAGGGCCTGCTCTCATTCGCTAGAAGCATGCAATGGAAGGAAAACATCATGGTTCTGGGGTCAGATAGAAACGGATACAAACTGATGGTCGCAGCAGACAGGGCGCGCCTTCAGACCTCTGTGGTCATGGGCTAACTCGCTGAATGCTGCGGTTTTATGTCATGTTGGTGTGGCCTGCGGACAGCACACCGAATATCGGACATGTAGAGGTCTGCTTGAGACTTTTGATTGCAAGCAGGGATGTGGAGAGGATTGCACAGCTATTTGATATCAGCGTTCTAAAACGCATGTCGGGGTTTGGATCCGTTCGTAGGTAATTCTATTTACACTTCTCGCAGTCTTCGTGATAGCAGAAATGTAAGGTCCCAAAGGGGTTGCGTACACTTTGTCCCTTACTGGGCCAGAGACGCGAAATAAATAAGATAATAAGATAATAATAAGAGGCGTGGTCCTCGTGAGAGGAAGTAAAGGCGTCCGTGTGCGAAGTGAGGTAATCTACATTTTGATGTTATAGCATGATTGGTAACCATGGTAACCACTAGAACGTAATGTTACGCAGTCCATCCCTCCTCTCTCCTTGGTTACGATTTTCAAAAGTTTGTGTACCTTTTAGTTTCATATACACGGACGAACAGCGAGCTTTGGCAAGTTAACGGCACATGGGCAGCCGACACAACATGCCACACCCGGCTACAACACGACTGCCATCAAACTGGCAGCAAGTTAACAACACATGACACACCCTTCACCACCGTTGCTGTTTCTCCCACGGATCACGCTGTTACGTCACCCACTCCTAATGGCAGCCTGCTTGACACACGCTAAATCACAAGTGCTTGACGCGAATTGCCCAGAGTGTGCGGACAACCTCCTAATTTTAGTGCACGCTGGTTACCTCAATGCGATCAATTGCACGCTGGTTACCTCAATTACCTCCCCAACTTTCCTTCTCTCAACCCACTCCATCCACTCCACCCCCACCCTACCCTCCTGCCCTCCCATGGCGGTCGGTCACTGCCTCCTCAAGAACCGGGAAGGGGCAAATAATTACGTCGCCAAAACGTCCAGCGGCAATTCAACGGCCAAAACGAGTAAAATCTCGGCCGGTCTGCCACCATGTCGTACACCTCATGAGAGCCTGGATAGTTCCAAGGCGGTCTCACCGATTACCAACAGCTCGGCCAAGCGAGCCAGCTTATCGCAAAATGCGTCCATGTCGTTTGTGGCGGTAGCTGTATATTTTTCACCTCCGCTGCAGCGTAATGCGGTCTTAACAAAGCCCTGCAGTGCGGGGTGATAACCAGAGCTTCTACATAGTCATATGCAGGATATACCTAAAATAATACTCCTAAACACTGCTCCCGAGTGTAGCTCCCTGGTTATGGTACCGTCACGCCCTATCGAACGTTCTCTTCCCTCTATGCGTGTGCCGAGGCGCTGTTAAAAAATGCAGATCATAACCATCCGAACCCGTGATTTATCGGTAAGTCCTAGAAGAGAAAGACAAGAAACAGACTTAAGGCAAGACACTAGGATGGTCGGGGGTGCAGCGAAGGAGCCATTATCGACTAAGCCAGGGGTGTCGATTTGTGTATATTATTGGGAGGGGGACGAACCCGAGGCCCGACAACCTGCCCACCCCATTCGTTCTCATCAGATTTAGCCCACTTCATTTTGATTGAACGCACTGTATGTTTTTAATATTTGTATAATTTATAGAAACCTTTAATTTAAGCAGCGTAGAAGTCACGCAGGGTTGTATACCGGTGTCACAGGATTTGAACGTCTGTCTTTCTCAGTCTCTTCGGCCATTGGTTCCACTTACCATCCACATCATCCACGCGCACTCACAGCCTGAGGCGTAGGAACGTTTCAAAAAGTGTGTGCGTGTGTGGGGGGGGGGGGGGCAAGCCCAGGGTATGCTTCAGGAACTTCTTCTGGAAAGCGAGTCCGATGACCGAGAGGGGATAGAGGTCGTTATCACTCTATTCAAATATCATGGCTGCTATGCTAGATATGCATCTAGGGCTGTTTATCACTGGAGCACAATCTTGCCTGTTTGACTCATCTGTCAGTTGGCAAATAAGGCTATTCAGCTCCCCTAGATTATTCCTCCATTTTAACATTGTCTTTCCTGGGGGGAGGGGGGGGCGAAATTCCACGAGCGGGTGGGTATCTTGGGTCATTAAGGAAGCATCTGCCTCCACAGTGAACATGCCAAAATACGGCCTGGATGAAGGCTGGTGAGAATTTTGAAAGTGGGTCGATGGCTCACAGTGCGACAGATTTTTCATGCGCCTTCATTTTGCTGGGTGCTTTTTAAGAGATGAGACTTGTCGCAGCATTTTAGGCGGAAGCGAATCCGGGAGCTTGAAACTGCTAGAAACAATGTGACAAGGGCCGTAAAACTGGAGATTCTCCTTAAAGAAAAGCCAGATAGTAAGGTCCATCTGTCATATGTTCCTTATCTAGGCCCTGCTCCTGTCTGCCGTCGGTGGCCATTGCCCTGGCCCAGATGTCTCCCGCATGACGGACTGCGATCTGATCGTATGGCTGCTTTGTTGCATACTTTTGGACCAGCGTTTCTACGACATGGTGTATAAAATACGTGCCGGACACCTACAACAGCATCTTTTTCCGAATTATCTTCCCTTACACCACACCATCGCAGAAAAATAGTCTCCGGAAAGCTGTCTGCCTTAGGTATGAATTGGCCCAACGGACATTTCATTGCCCATCATGCAACGTATACGACTTGATCTGCTTTTGTATGTAGGCAGGGGCGTATCCAGAGCCTTGCCAAGGGGAACACAGGGTTGATAAAAGCCCATCTTATGGTGATCCCCCAAAATCCCCGGATGTAGCTTACTGGTTAACAAGGGAAACGGTTCTTTTCGTATTATTGTTCTTTTTGCCTTGAAGCCAGAGCAGAAACCAGGAGTTACCGTGAGCTCAATTCTCTGTGTATTGTGAGGTCAATAAACCGCAGAAATCAGGCGTTAAACGATGGCATGGAAGAAATCACTGGCGCTCTTAATTTACAATGGTTGAGGTAACTTTTTTAAACCGACTATAATTCAGAAGCCTTGTCAAGATTTTCATCAGGTTCTTCAGACATCGAGGACATCGCGAAGGGATGGGATTGTAGATCCATATGTTTGACCCTAATTTGAAGACGAAAATTTGATTGCAGATCGAGTGGCCAACGATGTGTATTAACATGGCCTAAGCCATGTTTGTCTGAAAATGTTAAACATTAGTCAGAATCGATAAGTGATACTATTTATGCAACGTGTTTTTTAGCGCGCGCGCTCGCAAGCAACGAAAACCTCGACACCAGGCGTGGCAGTCTCCAGTTAGGAGAGTTAGCCCAGTAGCTAATATTTAGCCGTGGCCCACCGATGGACGAAAATGATGACACTTCTGAAATAGCATCCTTGGACGCTTCATGACATCAGACCTTGTATTTAGAGGGCAGTCTAAGCGTATATTTCACGTGTGCAATTTTTAGACTGATAAAAAGAATGGATTGGCCCCTAAAGCACCGCAACGTGAGGCTGGAATCTGCTGGTTGAACTCGAAGAGTGAAGGTAAAATCCCTATTTTACGTGTTTTCGCAGCTATTTACCTGTCCAGAAGACAGATTAACACGGCGCCCGACGCCTGGTGGCACTTGGTGGCACAGTGGCCGAAACTTTCCGGTTTTACGGAAGTTGCAACCCAGGCCATCGTTGCCCTTGCTCTCGAGGTTGCGGGCGGGGATGTTCAAGACTTTTGATGTAATTTGTTTCAATAATACATTCTGAAAAATAAACCTTCCCAGGCAAACATGGCACGACCTTGCTCGTCTTTTCTAATTCATTTTGACCCGCGCTATTCGACGGCTATGAGAGCCCCACTCTACCCAACAATAATGAGACCTCTTATTTCCTTCCGGGCAAGGGGCCTCTTGAGTAGAACACCAGCGGTACATTACCGTTTCCGGTCAAGAGCCGAGAGCCCATTCCGTCCCATCGCGAAATGTCTTCTGGCTATCATTCTGGTGGCACTGGGCGGGATCTCCTGGTCGATCCGGAGGCTATTAGAAGGATACATCAATCACATTGTTCCCATCCCTGACACGGGAGGCCTTCTGACCCGCGCAGTTAGCCCCGGATCAGCACAGGAACCCTCATTGGCGCAACGGCATCCCTGATCACCGCAGGTGGTCCGATAATTGTTACATAGACACCAGTTCCGTGTTTTTTTTTGTGCTCTTCAAATATTGAGTTCTCCCTGACTGTAGATTTTAAATGAAATGGGGTTCCTAATTTGTATTAACATGGCTAACCCATGTTTGTCTTAAAATGCTCACGACCCTGTCAGAGTTGATAACTGATAAGAAAACTATGTAATATGGTGTTGAACATGCGCGCTTGCAAGTCAGCAATAACAGCCTCGACGCCCGGCGTTGCAGTCTCCAGGCCGCGCGGCGTCGGCCTTGTGGCTGTAATACTAAACAATGGCCAATGACAAAACGAAAGAGATGACGCATTTTAAGGGCGATGTCTGGTGAACTAGGTAAATCGGCATGTATATTTAATGTAGTGCAAAATTAATCCAAATGCCAACTTAATCTGAAGTGTGTGTGGGGGCGGGGGGGGGGGGGCAGTTAACACTGCTCGCCCCCCTTGAAAAGTGGGGGGCCATGGCCCCTGCCCCCCCCCCCTCCCCCCTGTTTCTACGCCCATGCTCACAGCTCATCTCCAACGCTCATGTTCACAGCTCATCTGGGGTCACTGCCACTGAGTACTCACCACACAGGAAGCAGGCACTGAATGCCCGCGTCTGTTGTGATCGGCACATGATGGCTCAGGGCGCCAAAGGGCGCCGATGGTGCTCTTCTATGGCGGTCATGGGAGGCGGCGCGCACTTTTGGTTATGGGAACGGGGACGGGGTTAGCCATGAAGGACTTAGGCCACTCCCATATCCCAGAGCTTTTCACTTAAACATCACAAACCATTGCGTGTCGCATGCTGCGAGATATGTGAAGTTTATTGCATCACTTCTTCGCTCAGCTGTTAGTATTTGTATCTGGTGGTGAGAACAACCGTTACTTTTCGCTAAGTGTGGGACGAGACGCCACAACGACGAAATACCAGGGGACGATAGCCTTTGTGCTCAGATCATCTTTCGCCCACGTTTTTCAAAGCATCCCAGCCAAAAACATTGGGGGCCAAGCCAACATTGGGGGGGGGGGACAACTCAACATTGGGGAGGGGGCCAGGAACCTCACAAAAGAATACAGATCGACACACGTGGACTAAGCTACTAGCCTCTAACGACTTCTTGGCTGTTGGGTTAAAAACTTACGTATTAATAGAAACATCGTGCGGAGCAACACCCTTCAAAGCAATGCATGCTCCAGCGCCTTCCATGCCGCGGCGAGCGCCGAAGCCCCATTTGCTAAGCGGCTAATCTGCTGGGAGGGTGAAAAGAAGAGAAAGTTGTAGCCAACCCATCGCCAGCTGGCTCATCGCTGCGCAGAAGTGCGCCATCACACGCCGTCTGCTAACGCAAACAATTGGGGAGGCACTATTGCGTCGTTCCTGCGCGGCCTTGGCGCTGTTGGAGGCTCGTTGAGAAGGGTGTGTGGGGGTGGTTGCGCGAGTTTGCGCGGAAGGGGAGAATGGGCGAGCATTAACGACATAATTCACAAATCTTGTATCTTTGTGTTTTGTGGCTTACGCCATCTCACGCCCTCTTGGTATTTCTGTGAAGTACTTAACTAAATTATAAAGTAATGTTAGTGGATCAGTACGAAAGCGATGAAGACCATGGTGGACAGCACAGCTGTGCTGGAATGAATTAAGCTGGAAGGTGTGTAGCAGTTTGGAAGCTCACCATCTCAAAGGTATGTGCAAGTTAAAAATTTGCCATGATGCTGGGTTCATGCCAACAACTGTTCCATTTGTCATCTGGCAGTGGTGAAAAGTGGTGTCAAAATGTCAACATGAAATTCATGCTCATTGCATTGAAAATGGCAAATGCATGTACCATGTGATGGTGCTTAAGATCACCAAAATTAGTGTTTTTGCCATTTGTGTTGTAGGATGGCTGCTGTGCAGATCATAACAGTGGAAGTTGTGAGGATGGAACAAAGAAGAACAGGCTGTATAGTTATATGTATGTTTTGAGCCTCTTATTTTTCATCTACTTCATCCTGATTGAAAACTGTCATAATTGGTGACTGAGTGTCACAACTTTTTCTATTGCTCCCATGTTAGGAACAAGCAGTGCAGACACTTTAGTGGGTTCCCATGATCAACTGTTTTTCTAACTCTAGATTTGTACAGGACTGAGTGTTATTACCCAGCTATGCTCATTGCTTGCAGCAATGGCACTTTTGCAGCAGGCTGGTTTCATGTGCTGAGATGTTTACATCAGACCATGTAGGGCTGTGTAGAGGATTGGTGGCTACCTTCAGGATTTTGCTGGTGATGATGGTGTGGGGTACAGGAAGAACTTGTTAAAGTTAATTTTCCCATTTTGGTTCTGATAGGACATGGTCATGTCCTTCCATCCTCCTAAATGCTTTCAATTATTATGTGGATGTGGGCCAAGATGGCCTTGGCATACTAATATATGCTATTCAAGAAAGCTCCTGTACCAGCTTGGTTGCTGGCTTTCAAACTCCATCAGCTTCTGCTGCTCATAGTAGAACAGGCCCATTTTACAATAGCCATGTGTTACAGAGAGATGAGTCAGGCTTTTGTATATTAGGGTAGTGTTCAATCCCATTTTTGTTCAAAATGTAATGGCATGGTGCTTAACACCAGGATCATCTTGGAAGCAGCTGTGGCAACTTGTCTCAGACCATGGACACTGAAGATATGCATTGATTTGATATGGATGGTCAACAAATATGGCCATTGGTTTCCTTGACCTGCTGGAGCAGATAGTTCAGGATTGGAAGTGATGATTAAGGATTGTGCCCTGGCCTTTGGCATGCCATGGACATAAAGCACAGGTGCTAGGTCATGGATTTGACCCATTGAGTGAGAGTAGACTTCTCTGGTGTCAGGTACCTAGTAAAAGGAGGCCAGCTGGCACTTAGTTACATCCAATGGCTTCATCTAGTTTGAAGTACAGCTGGGTATCATTGGCAGAGTTTCACAATGGCTTACATCTGTCATGCCTTAGAACTCACCACATCCATCTATATTGTTAGGTTCCCCGACTTAGGGTTAGGTATGACAGTGCACACAGGTTTATGTGCTTTGGGGGTATGACATATCCTATATAAACTAGGCCATCAAAGCCAGAAAAGTGGCACTGGATCTGCCACATGCTTTTTTCTGAAAGGGGTTGAGGTGGTCCCAAGGCACATCCATGGCATACAAATTGCTAGAAGATGATCTGTGATCTATTTGTAAGTGCATTACAGTAGCAATCTAAGTTTGTATATTCTTATATGTACTGAAGGCTTAAAATATGACACTGGCAATATCATCCTAACTCATTAATAAATGATTGAATAAAAAGCATGTATGATTGGCATTGAGTTTAACAGATATTTGTTGTCATACTATTGCTTTGTGTCACAGGGTTGGAAATTCAAAAGAATTTCCTGATGGAGTACAAATTTTCTACAGTGAAGTACAAAGTTATCCAAGTGCTGTGGGTCATTACAGCTTTATTTAGCTTATATTTGAGAGATAATAGGACAATGGGTGGCACTCAACAAAGGTGCCACTTTTCATATACATCAATTCATGTAAAAACACTTTAAATGAAAGAAAACATCAGCATTAAACATGGCACGTGCATCACAACACAACGCCATTCCCATCAAGCCCAGTTGCTTTGGGACTCAATATAACGTTCACATGGTTGTGTATAATGTTTGTGTGACACATCTTACAAGGGCCATTAAAAGTGGATGTGTTGTTGCTCCCCATTAGTGGTGTTACTTTGTTTATAAGGAGTGATGCCTTTTGTCAAGGCTGGTTCCTAGCTCTTTTTCTCTTCATTACATTTGTCATCTTGATTGTTTCTGAGCCAGTTGTGCCAGCCAGTTGCAGAATATCTATCGACTTGGAAATTTTCATTATTTTGCACATGGACGCCATAGCGGTACAGCCAGACTGAAATATCGGTGTGGTGTTCAAAGTTATCTGTATGAACTTGGAACTGGTTTCTAGCCCAGTGAACCACTCTTTGCCTTTAGATTCAGCAAAGTAAATGGTCTAACTCGTAATTCCAGAAAATTCGATGGGATCCATGACAATTTTCCAAGTTGCGTTGCTACCCAGCCTCGTATAAAATACACGAAATATACATGGGGCTTTCAATGACTCAACGTCGTTGATGAAGTTGACATGGTTATGTTTTGTTTTCGCCAGCATTGTCGTTGAATCTGATTGGCGGCGTGTGCATTGTTTTGGGTCTTTGTTTTCGATGGCTGCGAGATAAGCATTTTTTAATTAATTAACTTTGCGCGAAGTATTACAGAGAGGCCGTCGACTTTTGCATGCTAGATTTATTTGTGTTAAATACTAAGTTATGGACTCTGTACGTCTTATTCCACGTTCTTGTCAACTTGTTTAACTGCTTTTACCTCCAAACGTTTCCTTTTGCGCCTTGGAACTGAAAACGGGTCAGCGCGTGAGGCCTTTGGGTATGAGTGTATTTTGGTCACCCCTTAAACGCATCTCCGATGAAATTTGAGTCAAAGCATATGTTATGATGTCGGGGAAATAGCGTTTGCATTGCCCTCGCTGAACACGGGTACTGCATTCCGCCGAGTCCGTAATAGGATCGAGGTTCCTGGGAGCTTAGTCTGGCTTGTTGCGGGTTAATGAACGCAACTTTATGTTATCCGCGGTCACTGGACATGTCGCCTGCAGTGCTGTCGGAAAGATTGTTCAACTTTTCGATGTCGCCCAAAGGGTATTCAAGAGGTCCAGATATGTGCTGTCGTGCAAGAGAAGCCGGTACATCCGCTTGTCTAACGGACCGATCATTAGGTCTGGCAGATCCATGGTGGCCAAAATCTTCTTTCGCTCTGTACTGCAAGAAGACCTGGACGGTCGCGCCCTGTGACAGGCGAGGAGATCGGGGGCATCACCGATATGAAGGCGCCTCGTGCGAGGTATGGACGAAATGGGACGGCGATCAGAAGATGACGGGCCTGTTCGCTGCGCATGATTACTACTGGCGGCGTAACCACGTGTGGCCAGTGCTAGGCTTGAAGAGGTTTCTGTAAGAATGGCTTGCGAAAGCTTGAAGAGGTTTCTGAAAATTGGAATGTTGTGTGCAAATGGCCGAAGAAGACGCAACACAAAATGACAGGTGACAGCCCGGAAGGCAACGAAATCCTGAACAGTCTTTCCGATAGGCAGGGGCGAAACACGTCCGCATGTCGAGAACGCCTGGAGCGTGCCGGCCGGCCGGTTCCATTAAAATGCCTCGTTGCGAGCGAGTGCCGGTTTGCTTCCCTCATCGCGTCCTGACCGCACGAGCGCGAAATGGGTAGTTGGCCTGTGCTGGGTGCTGCGGTCACCTGTCGCCAACTCGAGGCGTCGTTCGTTGAACGCGGCCGGGGCGAGAGGCGCGGCGTGCTCGCGGCTCAGTCGGTGTCGGGGCCGGGCCGGGACGGGTAAGGTCATGTCAGGTCAGGTCGAAGCGTCGGGTCACAGAACTAGGGCGCCGAGCTCTATTGTGTGCTCCCAACGTTTCAGCGCGTGGCGACGCCGGAAGCCAGCGCCGACCTGACCGGCGCGGCGCCGACCCGACCGCGGGCCATGTGGCCGCCGTCCGGCTCCGAGCCGTCCTCCGAGGACGAGCAGGCGCCGCAGGAGGAGGCGCCGCCGCCGGCGCCGCCGGCGGCACTGCCGCTCAGCTGGCTCGACCTGTCCGTGGTCGGGCACCCGCGCTCGGTGGCGCTGTCGGCGCTGCCCGGCGGGCCCGGCCGCCGGCTCACGGCCGACCTGGAGCGGCTGGCGGCGCACGGGTTCACGGCCGTGCTGCTGCTCTGCACCGACGCCGAGCTGGCCAAGCTGGGCGTGCCCGAGCTGGCGACGCAGTACGCGGCACGCGGCCTGGCCGTCTGCCACCGGCCCGTGGCGGAGGGCGAGGTGCCAGGCCCGGCCGAGCTGCTGCAGCTGTTCGACGCGGCCGTGCAGGCGCTGGAGGCAGGCGGCCGCGTGCTGCTGCACTGCACCAGTGGCCTGGGCCGCTCCTGCACGGTGGCTGCCTGCCTGCTGCTGCACGTGCACGAGGACCTGACCGCCGACGAGGCGGTCGAGGCGGTACGCCGGCTGCGCGGCCCGCGCGCTGTTCAGTCTGTGCGCCAGTTTAACTTTATCCAAGAGTATCGCGAGGTGCGTGACGAGTTTCTGGCCGAAATGGCCATGCCCGAATCGCGGCCGGTGTCTCGGTAAGTGTGCGGCGCCGGACCGCCGCAGCAGCGACCGACGCCGAGATGAGCCGACACGCCGCACGAGGCCGGTGAACAGGACATCACCGGAGCGTCACTGTGGCGCTGTTTGACTTTGTGTACAGCCCGCGAGCAGCGTCCTGGCGGGGTAACACGCCGGGCATCGATGACCGCATTCTCTTACTTGTTACACTGATGTCTTTCGTCATGCGTCTGGTTCATCACGCTCACCCTCGATTGGGAGTGGTAAACAAAGTACAAATTAAGTGCAAACAAGTGAAGAGAGTGCGCCGTGTAGCCCGGGGCCCTATGTTGGCGGCAGCGCGCCGACATCTCGTGGCCGACTGGACTACTAAAGGTTTGTTTTTCTCACGCCAGAGATGTGTGTAAGACGCGTACAGGGTTTTTTGAAACGCGTTTTTTAACAGCCTTGTTTGGTGTACCTACAAGGTAAGGAGGTCGTGCCGCTGGTTGAACGTGCAGCAGTCCCAGTTAGGTACGCCATTATCTAACGAACCTGCCGTTACCTCACAGGCCGGCGGGTGTCGTGCGATGCGTTTGCGCGATGACTGGCCATGAATAGCAGCGCGGCGACGTTGCACACTCTGCGCCGCGCCGCTGTGCTTGTTCCCAGCGGACCACACGGTCGTCGGGGTGACGACCGTGCGGCGCATCTATGCAATACGACGCTCACGACCTGAAAGAATGGTCGACCGTGTTCATGACGATTTCGAGCATTTCGACGAGCCTTTCCCACTCTCGCGTTTGGCATGCGACGTGCACGGCCATCGGGATGACGACTGTGCGGCGCAGCTCTGTCACTGTGGCGCTCACCGGCTGAACGAATGATCGACTGTGTTCTGACGACTATCGAGGAGTGTGTGGCAAGAACCATGCCATAATGCAACCACACCATACGTGTACGCAGACAGTGAAGTTGTACAGTGTGGTGTGTGGATGGCTGTGTTCAATAAAATTTCGAGCTTTGGGCGGTGATAACCACGACCGTATCGCGGCCTCGCGGCAGGTGGCAACCTGACCGAGTTGAAGTCCTGGCGCACCTGCGTAAGTCCCCTGCACCACCAAGGCAGGTTATCGTATTGCCGCGAGCTTGGATGACGCCAGCACCATAACCGGGACGTCTCCTTCAAGCGCAGTGCCTCGCGCTCATTCGTTATGAGTTGGAGCCGCCGGCATTCGGCTAGAGGATGTCTGTCTGATCCATCCGCCTCGCGGTGTGTACGGGCGGGTACGGCGGTCCACTTCCGCCGCTTGCCTGTGGTCGGTTCGCTTGGGGGGGGGGGGGGGGAAGGGCTGCAGAGTTATCACACTGTCTGATTCTGCACGAGGGCTGTACCACAGTGTACTTCAGATGTGTACTTTTACCGCACTAGGGCGCGGCGTCCAGCAACCCGCTCAAAAACATCAGCTATAGACGGTTTTGGCATGTTGGTATCTCCCGTAATGGCACATCTGACTGTCATTCCGGCACATTACGGGCCATTTTTGTCATTAACTTGGGTACTGGGCTGTGAACGTGCATGCCTGGAGCCTATCACGCTGTTGTTCCCGTCACAGTCGCAGCATCAGAATTTGAACCAGCAGCAATCCGGCAGATGGCCTCTCACCAGAGATATTGCAAGGACGACTTCCAAATTGTGCCTCAGAGACGTCATCTGGGCGTTGTGCCAACAACCTCACCCACAAGCGACAACCCGGCCCACAGTCAACAACAGCCCAGTCTACAAGCGAACAACACCCTGGTGTACAATATCTGGGTGGCAGGTCAGATCCTGGTGACCTGACCTGACCTGGTGCATTTTCCGAGTCACGTGTAAAAAGGGTTTTCAGCTTGGCTGGCTCACGTTCAACCATGGCTTGCCCAACATTTGGGGAGGCTGCCCCAAGACTCGGGGAGAAGGCACCAGCAGCTTGGGGAAGGGGGGAGGGGGAGAATAGTAAATGTACACGTTTCGGTCACTTTAACCATCCCTTCTACAGGCTTTACTTAAGCAGGGAGAGGTCTCACTTCTGAGGAGAGTGGCTGACGCACAGGCGATCGGGCAAGTTCTTGTCAGCGATAATCAGCTTATAGCTATTATCTAGACCCCTACACACTGCACATAAACGTCGGTGCCCCATCCGTCGTGAGGACGGCTGTTACGGGCGGCAGTGGGACGGACAAGCGCCGTGGCCTGTCGGCCGCTATCATCAGCGGCGCGGTCGGGGGCGCGGGGCGGCAGCGGCGACCACGGAGCCGATTGGAGAGCCCGACGGGCTGGTCGTAGGTCATATTAAGGGACCCCGACCCTGCTGACCCGGGCTTCCGAATGTTAATCGGAGGGCCTCTGCGCTGACCAGGGCTCCTGTGATAATGAGGGCTCCAGTGTCCGTCATCCGCCACCAATAGCGAACACCCGGCCCCTTGGGTCTAATTTTCAAACAAGAGCGAGGCCGAGAATGCCAGCTGACAACACCCCTTGCATTGGCAGAATACCCCTTGCATTGGCCGAACACCCCTGGGGTTGGCAGGACACCCATTGCGTTGTCCGGGGCCCAAGAGACAATAGGGGCCTCCGACATCGACCAGAGGCACGCGGTGCCCAACGGGCTCTGGCGTCGGCAAGGGTCACCGAGTGGGCCAATAGGCCACATGTTGGCCAGGGGCAGGGACGAGAGCCGGGAAGTCAGGAGGTCTCTTGCGTTGGTCGGGTCCTCTGACAATGACAGGAGGGCCAATAGTCACCGAGTGTCACCGAGTGGGCCAATAGCCCACCTGTTGGCCAGGGACAGAGACGAGAGCCAGGAAGTCAGCAGGCCTCTTGCGTTGATCGGTCCTCTGACAATGACAGGAGGTATGCAGAAATGTGCAGATGCCTATGCAGATATATGCAAATGATCAGATATGCGGAGATGCAGATATGCAGGAGATACGCAGGACTCTCTGACAATGAATAGAGACATGCAAAATGACAATGGGATGACTCACAATGAGACAATGGAAGGGAGGGTCCTCTGCTGGACAGTGGACCTCAGTAACGCCTCGGCTAGCGAGCGAGGGCCCCCCGCCCCAGTTGAGCCAAAGGCCCGATGAGACAATGGAAGGGAGGGTCCTCTGCTGGGCAGTGGACCTCAGTAACGCCTCGGCTAGCGAGCGAGGGCCCTCCGCCCCAGTTGAGCCAAAGGCCCGATGAGACAATGGAAGGGAGGGTCCTCTGCTGGACAGTGGACCTCAGTAACGCCTGGGCTAGCGAGCGAGGGCCCTCCGCCCCGGTTGAGCCAAAGGCCCGATGAGACAATGGAAGGGAGGGTCCTCTGCTGGGCAGTGGACCTCAGTAACGCCTCGGCTAGCGAGCGAGGGCCCTCCGCCCCAGGTGAGCCAAAGGCCCGATAGACCGAACTGAGATCTCTGTGCCAATGATCGGATCGCCCGTGCCGGCAATAAATCATTTGGGTCAGTGAGAGCCCTCGCGTCAGCCTGGAGCCAACAGCTCTGTTCAGATGGCCCCCTGCGTCAGACAGGTGACCGATACCGATGTGCGATGCATCCCTCCTCAGGGCCCCCTCGGGGGAGAGGAGGGGGGGGGGGGGGACAGCCAGTAAGCACGCAGTATCCGGGGCTGTTACGGAAAGGCCCTTCGGACCTTGACCAGAAAAGGTGACGGGCTCTAGTGTTCCACCTACGGTGCTCCTCGTCTGGGAATGCTAGTCCCTTGATTTACACGCGGCCGCTAAATGAAGGCGCTGGTCGTCATCATTTGACCTCTCCGCCACCCCTCCCTCTTCTTAAAGCAGGCGTACAGCATCGAGCTCACTCGAGATAGAGTGGGTCATATTCAGTCATTTGGGGGGGGGGGGGGGAAGGGGCCTTACCAAACTGTGTCCCTTTCCCTCAACGAGCTTGTTTGCGTCCATGGCTGTCATATGCAATTATCTCAGGGGCAGCATCAGCCGCGGGCAGGACCTTCCTCATTTGTCTCCAGGATATGACGCGGTCTCTAATTCTGTGTAGCCGATGCTGTTGCGATTACAGACCGCTGAACGCCTGATATGGATTGCCGTATGCCTTCTTTAAGCCCCGGCGGGGGCTGTGCGCACGTGACGACCGCGGGGTGTCAGGGACACCGACGCGGCGGGGCCGTAGCGCGCCGACGTCCCGGGCCGGCCCGCATTATCCGGCGGCACGCTCCCCTGAAGCGCGCGCCTTAGATCGTGTGGCTGAGCCGCTCCACGGAACCGCAGGCCTGCAGCGTGCAGGAGAGGTCTCGCGCGTGGCGAAGACGGCTCGCAAGCGAGAACTGCTGGAATTCGGCCAGCCAGAACTGATCCATGGGAAAACCCCAGGGGCAAAACCCAACCGGACGACTGGCGGACCCGCCGTCTGGCGCCAGCGCCGCATCAGGTCAGCGGCTGTCAGCCAGAACACCAGTCGACCTGATTACCAGTCAGCCAGAACCAGTCGACCTGCTCTGGAGAGGATCTGCCAGCGGATGCGAACTGCCCCCCCCCCCCCCCCTGCTGGAGAGTGGGACCGCTTGCGCTGGAGGGGGGCGGGGGGCGCGAAATGCAGGACTGATTGCGCTGAGCCGGGGAGCGTTTGATTAACTTCCGCTCAGAGTTTCCTATCACGTCAGCGATGTTCTTAACTATGATGTAGCTTTGTCCCAACCTGACAATGATGACCCTTACGCATCAGAAACGTCAGACGACCAAGGATCTCGAAGCTGTGTTTTTGCGCTGGCCCTCACTTGGGTAAAAGACGGTGTCTGTGTTCAGAATGAGGTAGAAAAACTGCACTGTTGCTGTATTTATAATGCACCAGCCAGTTTACCATTACTGCACATGCTGCTTACAGAGAGATAGCTTTTCGCATGCACATCTGTCTCGGGCCAGGCCTTGTTTGCGCTTTTCCTGTCATACCCGTGCGCAAGCACCTTCCTGTCCTCCTCGTGGTCGTGGATGCGTGACGACAACGAATTTGTGTGGCAGAATGCCGATCTGTCG